GTTCTGACCCATACCAAGATAGTCGTTCGAACAGAAGACCATGACCTCTCTAGGAACGCCCGCCTCGTCGTTCTGACCACGGAATGTCGCCTTGGGGAAAGTGCCAACATGTCTCTGTAGATTAGCAAAGTAACGATACCTCCCTTCTCGCTTCAGCTTCTCAATGTTGTACTCAAACTTAGTCTCGTACATCTTATCGGCCACTCTCGTCACCAGAGACTTCTTCACAACACCCTCATCAAGATCGTTATGTATGAGGACAGGTTTCTCAACCACCGACATCACTGGGCAGAGACCGGCAAAAGTCTCAACCGCGCTCTTGTCGGGCATCCCCTTGGTTCTAGCCACGAAGGGACACACATTCTTAACCTCAGATAGATTCACTGGTAGTGGCGACGAACGCGACGCCACCGCAGCGGCGGCGGCGGCTACCTGGCGTAGCTCACCAGAGAAGTGATTACAGGTTTGTTGGGCGACTGCCGACATCAGAGGAACAGAGGAAAACCTGAGACTGTCATCTCTTCTGCCTACCACACGCCATGACCATCTTAGTGCCTTTCACGCTATAGCTGCCACCGACACAGACGAGTGCAAAAAGCGCGCGCCCTGAACAAGGAGGGATTGTTATTTGAAGGGAAATATTTGCTGTGGTAGCTGCTGTATTATCAGTATCAAGCCGCTTGATTCGAGCGGCATATCCCAAGAGAGATCTTTTCGACCATGTACCAGTTAGAAAGCGACCGAAGACTGGCCAGTGTGGGGTGACAGAGGAATTGTGTCGACCCGCAGCGCGGCACAGCTACACTCAACAACTCAACACAGGTCTTTACATTGATGACAATGGAGGTAACGATGATCATGCCAGCAACTTCGGATCAAATCCCATCTCTTCTCGAGGTATACCGTATCTGAGCAAACACTTCGACCACAATAGCCAGACGAGCAACTTTACTCGCCCAACTTCGCCTCAAATGCCCGAACAAGCTGAGCGTGGGCTTCTTGTAGCTTTCGCTGTTCCTGAATATATACTCCTCAATGATGTGCAATGGGGAAAAGGACTTACCTCTTGCAGCTCAAATATGGTATCATCCTTGGAAGTCAACACAGGACGGAACTTCTCAGAGATCTCCTCGGCCGTCCCTGCCTCGCGATTTGTTGATCTATGCATCTCCACCACCTGGGCGTCCGCTACTTCAAGTGAATCCTAAAAAAGTTGAATTCGCCAAGAAGTCGGAGGATGGTGGTC